CCCTCCTCCTGTCCTAAAACCAACTGTGTTCTCAGACACACCACTTCTCACCCTTGTGGGGTCTTCCTCTAGCAGTTATCCAAACTCCCATATCACATTAACCAGACTTCCTGGGGTGGTGGGTTGGCTTACACTCACTGTGGCTGTTTACTTCCTTCTGACTCACTTCTCAACCCCCACAATCCAGGTTCTGCCTTAACCACCTCACTAACACTGCTCAGGTAAAGGTCCCTAGAGATCTCCATACTGCCAACACGAGGGACCACATTTCCATCTTTCTTTATTGGACCTTGCTAAAACAAGTGCCCCTGACCACTTTCCCGAAACACGTGACTATGTTGACTTTTGTGACACTACTCTCCTTGCTTGTTCTCTTCTCATTTTTAGACACTACAGTGTTATCCAAGTGTGGGCCAGGAGTCAGTGGAGGGGTCTCTGAGACCTTTCAGGGGATCCACCAGAAAAACTATTTTATAATATAATACCAAGACATTTGCCAGTTCCACTCTCATTTTCTTATGAGTGTATAGTGGAATCTCCCAGAGGCTAAATGACATGTGATACGGCAACAGGCTGTAGGCAGACACAAATCTAAAAATCTACCCTTCTTTTACTAAGACAAACATTAAAGAGACTTGCAAAAATGTTGAACGTCACTCTTGTCACTAATATAATGGTCACTTTTCAGAAAAATGTTATTTTTGTTTGTATATAATGGGTTTATCAATTCATTTAAAAGTAGGTATTTTAAGATGTTTTAGTTTTGATTTTTTAATCTGATATTGATAACTATGGCACACATACACAAAGCTTTTGGGTCCTCAGTTACATTTAAGAATGTAAAAGGATCCTGAGACCCTTAAGTTGGAGGACCACATTCTTAGACTATATATCTCTCGGCCTCCTTTAGTGGTTCTTCTTCGACCAACCCCTTAAACTTTTATGTTCTCTAGAACAGCAACCTTAGCCCACTGGTTTTTTCACCATATACTAAGATTTCTCAGTCTTGGTATGTTTGACATTTTGGGTCAGGTAATTCTTTATTATGGGGGATTCTGTGTTTAGCAGCATCCCTGGCCACTAGTATCCTCCCACCCAAACTGTGACAACAAAAATGTCTCCAGATATTGTCAGATAAAATTGTCCCTAGTTTAGAACAACCACCCTAAATGTTCTTCCTAAAAATTTCGCCTAATATCAATACTTTTTTTTTTTTTTCAGAGAGCAGGTGTACACATGTCAGGGTGGGGGACCAAGGGAGGGGGAGAGAGAACCTTGAGCATCCTCCATGCCCACCTCAGAGCCCATTGACATGGGGCTCCATCTCACAACCCTGAGATCATGACCTGAGCTGAAATCAAGACTTGGATGCTTAACCAACTGAACCACAAGGTGCCTCAAGTACAAAAAGCACTTGACATGTATTAACTCATTTAAACTTCAACCTCTGAGAGATGAATTATCTCTGTTTCACAGAATTTCTGTTTTACAGATTAAGAAACTGCCAAACTGAGAAGTGAAATGACTCTTCCAGGGTCATACAGCAAGTAAGTGATGATGGTAACTCTAGCCCTGTTTGCTTCCCTGAGCTTTACACTCTTGTGAGTAACTGCCTTTGCTGGGCATCAGATGACATTCACTCAAGATGTCTGAAGATGTATTCATAAGTCTTCTTGTCATAAGACCAGCTATTTCTGTACTTAAGTCAGTTAATGGCACAACTTTACACTTAATCTTTCTGTGCCTCAGCTTAACCAGTAACCTGGAAGGGATTCTAGACTCTGTTGGATTCTTTCTTCCTTATTCCTGAATCCAATCATTCTTAGGGTTCTAACAAGTTTACCCTATAATTATTAATCAAATATGTCTTTTTTTCTATCTACCACTATTCTTGCCTTCATTAGACCCTAATCTCTGGGATGCCTGGGTGGCTCAGTTTGTTAAGCGTCTGCTTTTGCCTCAAGTCATGATCCCAGAGTCCTGGGATTGAGTCCTTGCTCAAAGGAGAGCCTGCTTCTCCCTCTGCCTTTGTTGCCTGCTTGTGCCCTCTCTCTGACAAATAAATAAATAAAATCTTAAAAAAAAAAGGACCCTAATCTCACCTCAGCATTGGTATAATCAACTCCCATTTGGTGTCTTTATATCTAGTTCTCCAAATTATCTTCTACGCTGCTGCCAATGATCTACCTAAAATGCAAATCTGGCCATGTCACTTTCTGTTTTAAAATGTTTTATTAGCTGCCTATTAGATAAGAATAAAACCCAAGTTCCTTCGCATGGTGCCTAGGCCCCTCAGTCCAACCTCAGTCTCATCCTCTGTCACTCCCTGAATCATACTTAACTCTCTAGCAATTAAATAATCTTCTACTGTTTGTTGTTATCTGAGCTACTATGCTGATTCACACCTTTGACCCAATGTCATCTTCTGGGACACGTTCTTGGTTCTACCCCTGTGCATGCCCACCATAGCACTTAACACAGTTTGGAAAATGGTTTCTATAACTGTGTCCCACTGGGGTTTGTTAAAAAAGCCATTGATGGTAGGTGCTTTGCTGAACCCAAAGCTCTCCAGGTTTTGCACACAGGGCAAATTAGTCTTCAGACAAGTTTTTGGAAGCACTGAAGTAAAATGGACCTGTTTGGATGGAGGCTGGGGTTGTGGATGAGAATTAGGAAAACCTTTGTCCTGAGAAGGTCATGATTGAGCTGAATCTCAAAAAAGGATGAACTCAAGAGTGTTTAAAGGGCATTGTCCAGGGATGCCTGGGTGGCTCAGTGGGTTGAGCCACACTGCCTTCGGCTCAGGTCATGATCCCGAGGTCCAGGGTTCGAGTCCCGCATCGGGCTCCTTGCTCAGCGGGGAGCCTGCCTCTCGCTCCGCCTCTCTCTGCATGTGTGCTTTCTCTCTCTCTTTCTGACAAATAAATAAAATCTTAAAAAAAAAAAAAGGGCATTGTCCAATAGAGAGAACTTCACAAGGGAAAAGAGGCTCTTTTTGAAATTCACAAGATACAGCTTTAATACAGAAGGACATTATTTTTTAATAAGTTAATTAGAGATCATACTAATGGGAATCTCAGGTTTCAGGTCCATGATTTCAAGAAAGTATAAAATGATTACCAGATTCCTATAGTTAATACAGTTACATGTGTATAATAAATTTAGTTCAAAAACAACTCAATGTATAATTTGAACAACGTATAAATTGAACAATTTTCTAAATGTAAATTACCTTACAGTGGCTCATACAAAAACTTGTTTCCAATTTTCTGCCCACCAGTTACAGCTTTGAATGGTTTTCCTGCAGTCTACTCCTGTTGACTTGGCATTTATTCACTTCATAAAAATTTTGCCTCGAATGTGGATTTCACCACCTGGCTCATAAATCATTTCCAAATGGATTTTTAGTAATATAAGAGTCCTCAGAGACTACCTAGTCCAACAAGCAAATTTTGTAAACAGGAATACTGAACTACTATGGTTGAGTGACTTGTTGAAGATTACATATTACATATTCTCTGAAGACTCCTTCTTGGTGATGTGCTTTCATATCCACCCTAGATACGTGTGGGATATCTAGGCTACCCTCCAGTGTGACCTGTGTGCTGATTCCCAGTTCTTGTTCATTCTTAGTAAATTTAAATGACAAACTATCTTCTTCCAGACTGCAAATAACTGGTTACCACTTACTCACTTGCATATTTTGTCACTGTCTTCAACAGACGAAGTTCTTGGTGCTAGGAACTTGGTTAATTTTTCGTCAAAAATTTCACCAGTATTCCTAATATTTACAAACTTTACCTTCTAAAGAAAAAGTCATTAAGTAAAATTATGCTCTCCTATGAAATGTTTCTTTCAACCATTTGACTGGTCTCACTGGTAGATACTGTTTTCAAATTTACAAGATGAATACCTTTTCTATGCAGGTATCTAAAAATTAGTCACTGCTTGAGAGGTTTAGTATTCTATCCCATAACCAACAGTGTAATGGGTCTCCTTATCACAGGGCCTGCCAACTCATATATACATTGAGAGGGTTGTGCCTATTTGATCAGACTCTCTCCTAGGTCACTCAATCCCTAGGCTGGACAGTCACCCAAAGTGAGACCTGGCATAAATATGGCTCAACGCTGAGAAGATCAGGTAGTTAGTAGGAAACACCAAATCTGAAAGGATGCAGAGAGAAAATCATTAAGATACCTACAGTAACGATGGATCAGAAGTTATAAGGAAGCAAAATAGAAAGGGGAGGCTGTGAGGCAGACAGAAGATATATGAAATCAATAAGGGACTCAGGAGCAAATATGAGAAGGGGGCAGGCATGAAGCAAGTTGTGTGCTACATTGAGGGACGGAAGTTTAGACACTCATTCTCCTGCCGCAAAGATCCTTTAAGCGGCATCCCATCTGATGAGGCCAAGATAAACGTTTCCCACCCCAGAAGTTTTTGAGTTTCTTTCCTTTACAGCTCTTTGAATCTCCTTCTTATAAACCCTGTTTTCGCCCCACGCGCTCCTCAAAGCCAGTGCCCTAAGTAGAAAGAATTTGATTCCTGCAACTAAAAAAGCTAATTAAGCACCTAGGATAGTGGCTAGAGCGAGGCTTCAGCTTTCGGACATGCGCTACTGGCTGCTCGCTTCCTCTATCGTCTCTTTGAATCCTAGGGCAAGTTCTATGCATGCGACACACGGGTCCCAGCGTGAGCACCTGCAGCTTCCACGTCTACTCTTCTCATGGCAGAAACACACCAGTAACCACGCTCCCAGAGAACCAGGGAGTTCGACGCGGGGGAAAACATGACAAGATTTGAACGTCTCTCTGATACAAGGAAGGGCAAGCCCACCCTCCCTTTCCCCCTCCGAAGTTTCAGAGAGCCACGCTGGTCTACAGGCGCACGCTTTCCCGCGGCGGAGCCTTTGCATCCCCGTCCCGAAGTCGCAGGCGCGGGACAGGAGCTCCCCGCACCCCGGACCTCCCGGCCCCCGCCGCCCGCCGGGTCACCTGTAATTGTAGGCGCTGAAATGCTTGCTCTCTCTCAGCATCGCCCGGTACAGATCTAATACTTGTGCGCGGCTGGAGGCTGCCATTTTGGAAGGAAAAAAAAAAAAAAATAAATGGGTCCTCTTCGAGAAGGTCCCGAGTTTAACCTAACCCACGAAACTTCAGTCTATGCAAAACCACGAACAAAATAAAATAAAATGCGGTGTGGCTCGGTCTTGCCCGCAGGCCGGGCCTGGGCCTGGATGAACACCGGCCCGCGCCTGGAGGCGCTGGGCGTCGCGCGCCGCTTAGGAGGCGGGCGCAGGCGGGCTACGGGCAGCTTAAGGGGGAGGCGCCGACCCGGAGGCGTTCCCGTCCTCCGCCCGCGCCTCCGAGGAACCTGCGTGCAGCAGCCCTACCGGAGGGCTGAGGCGGAGATGGGGGGACGGCCGCAGGGAAAGGGCTGAGCCTGTGAAGGGACGCAGGCCGGAGGCCCAAGCACTGAGTGCGTGCAGCCCGTCTAGGAGCGCCTTCGCGAAAGGCTTGGGGTCGTAGCGGGTACACTTAGTCTCCCACCGCAGCGCTCAGTCGCACCTCCGCGAGGCCCGAGGGCGCGTTGCCAGGGTTACCGAGCGCGCCGCAGGTCGACGCTCCGCCCCCGGCCGCAGATGACCCGCCCCTTGCGCTGGGGCCGCCCTCTGAGCTGCCTGAGAAGCCGACCGGGGTTTCCAGGGCGCTTTAACGTTACCGAGCTCTGTCTGTGGGCTCCTAGGGCCGGGCGCTTTCTGAGCGCAAGGACGGGACGCGCCGAGGGGGTCGCAGAGGCGATGAGTGAGGGACTCCCTGGTCCTCCGGCTACGCTCAGGGCGACCGGCTAAGGGCCTCAGGAGCAAGGACCCCCTTCTTGTCAAAATGGCAGCGCCCAGCGGGCTGTGAGGGTATCTTTAAGGGAGGGGGTGCGTCGGGTAAGAGCCTTCCCCAGGAGAGTAGGCAGCGTGCCACGCTTCAGAGTTTGAAACACCCAGGTTTGGGTCTCCTGGGCGAGCGGTGGGTAAGTGCCGGCCTCCCTGCAGCGTGGGGTGCGACGCGGGCACTCAGTCCTGGTGGTGGGGAGTTACTTGGCCACGGGATTTCCCCCCTTTTAGGGTGTTCTTTGAGTTCTGGAGGTTTTGCTTTTGAGTTTTTCAGTCCCGAAGAGTTTTGTCATCTACTGTATACAAAAGGTGGCGTGGTGTGGGTAATTAATTGGGAAAACTTAAGGGATTTAAGGAGTCTCTTCACACCCAAAGCAAGAAGCCGAGCAAGTTTTCTCTTGAAGATCTTCGTGGTTGAGTTTTCTCTCTTGGTCTTTCTCTGAAGACGTCAGCTTTCCAGAATCACCTTGTTACAGTGGTGAATAAAGTCGGTCGTTGTGATCCTTGAACGTAGGACTGGGCGCAGAGAAGCCTGAGCTAGTTGTAGTTACTGTGTTTGCAAAGCACCTGTCTTATTTTGGGACTTTCTCTGTCTATAGTCAACTTTAGGAAGAGCCACGGTTTTTTGCTCAGAATACAGCTAGGACTTCAGACGTCAAAAGCAAATTTGCCTCAACATCCGTTTTTCTTCAGCCACTGAGTTGTGGTTGTATGTCATCTCTTTAAGTTTACGTGGTTTTAAAATGACCCTTGCTTTATATCAAAGTCTCGTATTTTCTGAAACTTTAGGAGCAGGAAACACTTTTCTGATCTTGCTGCACTTTAATGTACTTGCAACGTGGTGTCCTTGCACCCAGATATACGTGTTAATATTACTCGTTACAGTGTAATAGCATTTTTTAAAAAGGCGGAAGAGAACATACTTTTTTAAAAAAGATTTTATTTATTTATTTGAGAGAGCGAAAGCAAGAGAGATCACAGAGAGAGGGAGAAGCTGACTCGCTAATGAGCAGAGAGCCCCTCTCTGGGTTTGAATCCAGGAGCCCGAGGTCATGACCTGAGCTGAAGGCAGAGGATTAACCGACGGAACACCCAGGCCCCCCGGAGAGAACATACTATCTATCATTATTACATTTCCTCTTTCTTTTTTTTTTTTCTTTCTTTCTTCTTCTTCTTCTTTTGTTTTGTTTTGTTTTGTTTGTTTGTTTTTAAGGTCTCCCACAAATACGAGTATCAAAATAAGGTTTTCTACAGGGTATCTGAACTTTTGTCACTCTTTTTTTTTTTTTAAGATTTTATTTATTTGTCAGAGAGAGAGCACACGTGCGCGCACAAGCAGGCAGAGTGGCAGGCAGAGGCTGAGAGAAAAGCAGGCTCCCGCTGAGCAAGGAACCAGATTTGGCACTGGATCCTAGGACCCTGGGATCAGGACCTGAGCGGAAGGCAGGGCCCTAACCTACTGAGCCACCGAGGCATCCCAGCTTTTGTCACTTTTGCAGGATGCTCAGGTCATTGGGCAAGTCTTACCTCAAGGATACTGAAAGAGATTTTAATATTTGAGTTTTTCTTGGCATTACTTAAAGGTTCAAGACCAAGGGAATTGCACCTTACCATAGAGTAAGATCTGGAGCCATTTTCTCTTAATATGGTACAGGAGTGCTAATGATATAAAATGCAACACCTGGGAAAACTACAATAATAAAGAAAGCTATCAAGGTAAAAGGAAAAAAAACATGAAAGTTATTTTGGTTTGTTTAACAAGTAGGGTGCCTGACTGGCTCAGTTGTAGAGCATGCAACTCTTAATCTCAGGTTTGTGAGTTTGAGCCCAAGATTTGTTGTAGAGATTACTTAAATAAACTTAAAAAAAAATTAGTAGGGCTTGCTTTATTATATATTGCTATCATCTGCAAAATGAAATTGGAGTAATTATTCCTGTCTGCAGTCTTTATGTCTAATGATCGGGCAATTTAATCATTAATGTATGGAATTAATGTATTGCAATGACCTTAACATCATAATCAAATAAAGCTTTTCAAAGAAACATATAAAGTTTAGTTTGTTTGGGTAGCCTAGTCATCTGTTAGTATAAAGAATAGTTGAGATTAGGAAAGTGGTAGATTCCCAGTAGATTCTATGCTAAGTCCTCACAAAAATACTTTTACTGTATTTGAAATAATATACCAGTGTCTTGAAAATCATTGCCTTGAACAACTAATATAAAAAATTACATTCCAAAGCTTAATCTCTATTTTTGTACACCTTTATTGCAGAGGTGACTAGTTTTAATAATAGCTCCATTTGAGGTTGAAACTGGAATTGGGTCAGTACCTGAGAATTACTTATTTATATGTCCTTTAATATGCATCTGTTCTGGGCTGAATATTGTTTTAGGTACTGACTATAAGCTAGCAGTACCTACTTATTACCATCTAGGCTTCAAAATGTAAAAATTGCCTTAGTATTCACCTGTCCATACTTAAGAAATATTTATACTTATTTACCTATGGAAAAGGATGTATTACCTTGTATTAAAGTTAGATTGCTGGATTACTAATGAGCACTTAATGCTTTTTGAAGGGAAATTTCTCCAAACATAATAAATAGTAGGACAGAAGTTTATTATCTTAGGCTTAAATATTAAAACAATGTGTAAAGAAAAATCTTGTATAAATGACCAACTTGTCACAGTATGATTTAGAAATTAAACATGGATCTAAATCTTTATTATATGTAGTTGTCATTTGTTTTTATTGATCATTCTAATAGACTACGAAGCTGGAAGAGACCTTGGATATCAATTTCTTTTTAAGATGTAGAAACTGAAGGCCTCATTCTCATTCACTCATTTAGTCAACATTATTGAACACTTCCTAAATGCCATATATTATCCAAGATGATTGAGTTACCATGCAGAGGGTCCTTCTCTCCAGAAATGGACAGGGAATTAGACAAACGAAATATTAATTTGTTGTGACAGGTGCTATGATAGGGATAATATTACCAGGTATCTGGGGAGTGCAGAAGAGGGCCATTCAACTAAGACTTTGATCTAAGGGGAGACTTTCCATCATAGAAGGTGTTTCCACAATGAGATAGTAACAACCAGATGAAGAATGTGGTAAGAGCCCGTAGTGTATATTCCAAGTGTGGAGGCATGAGCGCGCATGACCCATTCAGGGAACTCTGGGAGAGGGGATGGGAGAGACCATCTATGAAACCAGATTTGGTTAGTCTGTACCTCATTCATTATAATGACGTTTCTTCTGTTTTGGTGGTAAATTATTTCTTCAGCATTGGCTAGTTCACCCAAGTAGAACTTAACATCTGAACTATTGAAATGTAGGTTGGTTTCTCAGGTGTAGTTTTAAACCATATTTTTGATCGTCTATTCTAGGAGTGCTGAAATTCTGTTTACCTCTGCATTTAACATGGTTGACCAGCCTGGTAGATCAAGCCAAGGTTCCTGTGGGTATTTGAGGGCTCTAAATCAAGTACTGATCCCATTTACCAAAAGTTTACAGTTTACATACAATCTCTATGTAATTAAAATAGGAAGTACAAAGTGCTGCAGGGGAAGTACTGGGGAAGCGTTGTGCGGTCTTAGCATGGGAGGTCGCTTCCATGGATGGTGCCTGGGCCACACCTCAGATGGACAAAGTGAATGTGGCTGATGACCAGGCTTCAGGGAAGAAATTTTCTTTCTTTTTTTTTTTTTTTTTTTTTAATTTTTTTTTATTACCCAGGTGATTGGTTGCAGCCTGATAGAGAAACATTGATCTCTGGGAATTAGGGGCTTTTTGGAGGTGGTAGTGTTCTTGTTGGACTTGAGAGAATTTAGGTTTGGGCTGGGCCTTGAATTACAGGAATTTGGATGTGTGGGTATGGTGGTAAAATGGTTACTGCTGGATGAAGGTTTACCCTTAGAAAGGATAAAGAAGAGAGTCTGAGTGAGGTTTAAGGAAAGATGATCACAGCCTAAGGAACACTGAGGGAGGACCTTTTGAGGGAGAGAGTAGGAGAGTGCTTGAAGGTGCGTGCAGGAGATGCAGCTGGAAAGGCCATCAGGGTGGACACTGAGTCCTTGTAGGAGCTCAGTTAATCCTCTGGAGACCTGATGGGAAAGAAAGCTGTTCACTGCATTTAAGGACAGGGACGCTGAGAAGTTAGATTATTGAGCTAGAGTTAAGAAGCTAGGAAGCAGGGAGTGTGGGCATTGGTCCAGGATGTGATCTGTCTAGCCATGATGCTACACTGCCTCACAGATGGTCTTCAGTGGAAGCTTTAGGAGTTTGAACTATATTAATTTTTCTTGGATAATATGGGTAAACCTCAGACAGATTTGAATTTTAATTTAGTTGGATTCCCACTTATTTGTAAAAGCTAACTGGTTAGCTCCTAACAAATATTCAGAAAATCTCAAATGTTGAATTTTATACTAGCTTTTTAGTCTTTTAAGATAAATTTCTTTTTTTTTTTTTCTTTTACCATGTCTTGGAAAAGACCTAAATTGAATAGTTTTTTTGGTTGTCTGTTCTTATGTGCCACAGACATTATATCTCATGGGGGATTTTTGAGACTCGCCTTTCTGTAGAAGCTCTTTTCAAATATACCTAAGAAAATCAGTTCTCTGAGAAAGTTAGAAAGCATCTAGATAGTCTTACTTCATTGATTGGAGGCTAAGGGTTCCCCTACTTGT